CTGGCTCCCCCTCTGGTGACTTTGAGGAGTGCAGGAATGAGGGAAGGGAGAGGGTAGGTGCAGGTCACTGGGGCTGTGACTGGACACTGGCTCCCTCCTGTGGCCCTTCTGCAGCCTCAAAGTACATGATGGTAGGAGAGTGATCCAGGTGTCCCCTTCAATGGCTAGGAAGCAGTGAGGGCTTGAGCACCTCCCCATTGCCTTCTCAGTAGCCTCTTGGCCAGATCCTCCACCAAAGGCACAGGCTCTGGGTGGGGGGAAGGGTCCCAGAAAGGCAGAGAAGCCCCTCCCTGGGGAGCCACTGCTTAAGAGCCTGACCCCCTAAAGAGCATGTGTGAATGTGGGGAGTGTTTGTGGGCCCGTGCTTGTGCATACACTGTACATGTCAGTTGGTCCGTGTGTCCAGGCGTCTGGGTCTAGGTCTGGGCACTTGCGTGCACACACGTCTGCCTGACCTGTCATGTCCTTGTGTGTATGTGGGTCTCCATCTCTGTGTTGGTGTGTGTCCTGTACATATGTCTGTCTGGGGCTACCTGTATACTTATAACCAATGCCTATGTGTGCACATGTATTTGCATGTGTAAGCTCCAACACAAACAATGAAAGGTTGTCAGTTCAAATTCACCCAGAGGTGCCTCAGAAGAAAGGCCTGGCGATTTGCTTCCAAAAGGTCACAGCTTTGAAAACCTTATGGAGCACTTCTACTCTGCACACATGGGGTCACAACTAACAACAACAACTTGTGTCTGTGTGTGTCCATCTGTCTGTGTCTACATGGGTATGAGCCAACCTAGGCGTTTGCGGCTGTGGGTCTGTGTGTGCCTGGATGCCCAGAGCCCATGAGGAAAAATCTCTGAGATGTGGCCCCTATCAGTGTCGCAGCTGCTGGGCAGGTGGAGCAACACGGGGAAAGATTCCAGAGGGGGCAAGCTCCACCCCTCACATGAGCATGTGCAGAGCTGCGTGCTCACACGTGGACCCAGTACGTGCACGGACTCCACGTGCACACTAGCACACGTGCCCTCTGAACACACTCTCGTGCACCGCACCTGACGCTGCTGTTGCGGCGGTCTGGGGGCGGAAGCTCCACGGCCAGGCCAGCAGGCAAGGGCGGCCCTGTGGGCAGCGGCTGCTGCTGGAAGATGAGCTCAGGTGTCAGGTCCACCTCCGTGGGGCTCACCATGACCTTGGCAGCAGACAGCAGAGCCGTCTTCCCCTTGTTGTAGTTCTCCAGCACCTGGGGACAGCAGGGGATGCTGGCAGTGGTGGAGGGGGGCAGGCCAGCCCTAGGGCAGGAGTAGGGCAGTGGCCCAGACCACTCGGGCCAAACAGACCCTCATGGTGTCAATCCACTCTCCTCCTCCCTCCAAGGTCCCTGCTCCTCCATGAAGCCCCTAGCCTTGCCCAATAGAGCATGCCTTGCCCCACGGACCCTCAGGGAGTTCTCCTTCCCTATGGTTAGCGTGAACCCTTCTTGTTTCACTAGCTGGGTGACAGCTGAGGATGTCCCTGCTTGGCTGAGCATCTGTCACAGGCCAGGTGGCCTTCAGGGTCTCTGAGCTTAGCCTGCCTCAGGGGCACGTCTCTGGGGCCTGAGATCCGCCCAGCCCCTGGGAGTCTCCCAAATCCTCCAATGAGGCAAGATGGTGAGGTCGAGGAGCCAGGGCGTGGAGTCCAAGGACTTGGTTTTCTGGCCCCACCACAGCTCGGTGGGGACTGGGGCTGAGCCACCTAACTTCGCTGGGCCTCAGCATTTGCTTCTGTGAAATGGGGCAGTGGCCCGACCTGGAGGTATTGGTGGGGCTCTGCCAGGTGGGCTCACCTTGTTGAGCCCCTCCATGACCACGTAGGGGAGGTGCTCATGCAGCATGGCTGGTGAGATGATCACCTCGTTGAAGGCCTTGTTGTCGCCCCAGATGGCAAAGTATGTGGGATCCTCCTGTTCACAGCAGCTGAGGGCACAGGAGCCAGAGGAGGTGGAGGGTGGGGTGCAGCCTGGTGCTGGACCCCAAGCCCCTGGCTCTGCTCTCTGGCTTTTCTTGGCAGGGGGTGGAGGTGCACCTGGGGGCCCCCACCTTCCTGGCCAGCAATGCTATGTCCTGGCCTCCTGGGCCAGGCTCCTTGCTCCTGCCTGGCCCTCATCCCCATCCCCACCAGGCACGTCTGGGTTGCCAAGTGGAGGCTTGGAAAGGCTCCCCGAGCCTCAACCCAGGTCCCCACACAGCCCTCTCCCTGCCGCTGGCCTGGATCACGTCTGCTGTGCACGGGCCAGGGCCACGCCTGCCCCGCGTGGGACTGGGCCACGCCTGCTCCACGTGGGCAGGGCCTGGCTCACAAGCCTCTGTCAGGGAGATAGCCCACACTGGGAATGAGGGCCCAGGGCCCACCCTCTAAAGGACTGCTCGGAAGTCCACGTGCTTGCCCATTCCTTCCAGACCCAGCCTCTGCCTATGGCCCCATCCTTGCTTGCAGTTCTCTGCCAGCTAACCTCTGCAGTGATTTCAAATGACAGCCCAGGGGTGAGCTGGCCAGGGCCTTAGGGTGACCCTCCAGTGCACCTGCTTTTGAATGGATCACAGTGGGGAGAGCTGCCCTGGGGGAGACCAGGGAGGGGCTGAGCTTGGGGGCAGAGGCTGGGGCTGTCAGAGATGAGCCAGGAGTCCTGCCTGGGCTGGCCTTCTGTTCACTTCCAGGGTGGAGGCTGGGAGAAGCCCTGTCTGCAGGGCCCTGGGCCACCGTCTTGCAGCCTGGAGGGGTGAGTGCGAGCAGGCCAGCCCTGCCCTCTTCTGCCCTGGATGCTGCTGAGGCTGCCTTGGGTGCCAGCAGCACCTACCAGCACTGCTCAGCGGGGTGGTTGTGGACCACGTGGATGATGCGGCCGGGTGGGTAGAGCGGGGTGCTGGCAGACAGGGCAATGGTCAGGTCGCTGGGATGCGTCCAGAGCCGCGTGCTGGCCAGAGTGGTCACCTCCACCTCTTCGGGCAGCTCCGACTTGGGGATGCACTTGGTGGCCCCCACGATGATTCGCCACTGTGCAGGGGACAGCGGGAGATGGGGACAGAGCTGAGCAGCACTGGCTGGGCGGGCAGGGGCAGAGGGATGCTCAGAAGAGGGGTTGGCGGGGGGCTGGAATGGTGATGGGGCAGAGAGGGAAGGGCCCACCTGAAGAGGCAGTGGCTGAGGTGTACGGTGGCCATGAGGGCCCAAAAAATGCCAAGGATAGATGACATGGAGTTGATGAAGTTCAGGGCTAGAAAGGGGCTGGAAGACCAGTGAACCCCCTTATCTACTGCACGCGGAAGCAGTCCAAGCAAGTCGGAGGTAGAACAGACCCCAGACCTCAGTCCGGCTGAACCTGTCAGGCTTGGACGACCCAGGGTTGGTCCTGACAGCTGCCCAGTGGTGTGTCTGATGAGGGCAGTCCTGCCTCCCTAGGGCCAGGTGCCCCAGGCAAAGACTGTCCCCCAGACTAGCTGCCCTGCCCTCCCCTTGGCACTTGGCATGTGGGTGCCAATGCTGGGAACAGTCCAAACTGGGCTGAGACAGCGACTAAGGGTGAGGGCCAGTCTGGATACTAATGGAGGGTGACCTTGCAGAGGAACCGCTGGTCCATGTCTGCTTCCTCCTGGCCTGGCCTGCCCTGGGGCACCTGGCCATGGCATGCCCAACGCCCCCAGCTTCGCACGCTGAAGGCCAACTTGCCACAGGAAGAGCCCCCAGTCTCCTCCAAAGACCCAATGTGAGATTAGGAAGTGCTAGCCCTCATCCCTCGGTCACAGTGGGAAACCAGAACAAACTGCACCCAGGCCCCATTCACAGAGGACCTCCAGCCTTCCTGAGCCAGGGGTCTCCGCAGGCTTGGGGAGAGGTCTCCATCACACGCTTGGAGCCCTAAGCCCCAGGGACGGCTTCAGCTCTGGGTGATGGGAACTAGGACTAAGGAGTCCCTGGCCCCAGTCCTGACTCGGTTATAACTTGTAGTGTGAGCTAAAGCAAGTGTCCTGCCCACTCTGGGCTTCAGTTTCCCCATCTGTGCAGGGACAGGAGTTGGAAGGGGTGAGTTCTGAGATACTGAAGTGCTGACGCCTGAGGTTCCCATGACGTCTCACATGGATGGGCTTCTCATGTCCGGGGAACAGGTGAGGGACAAGGGTGGGGACAGGTGAGGGACAAGGGCAGGGACAGGTGTCCCGCAGGGGAGGGAGGGCTCACTTTGGGCTTGGTGCTTCGCTGCAGGACGTCCAGGAGTTGTCTGCGGAAACCCTCCAGCTGGGAGAGGCCGATCCTGGGGAAGGGTGCAAGATGCGGCGTCAGCCCAGCCTGCCAGGGCCTGAGAGAGGTGCAGGGTGAAGGGCTGTGGGTCACGGGGTAGGTGGAGGGGAGCCCGCAGTTCAGCAGAGCAGAGCCGAGGAAAGGCGATGCCAGGCATGCCGGTACCAGCACCCGTGTTCACCTGTTTGCTCACCGCGGCCATTGAGGGTGGGAGGGGCACTGGGCACGTGGTGGGGTCACCCGGGGAGGTGGATGCTGGGGTGAGGACCCGAGGAAGGAGAACAGCCCAGGCAGGGGACCTTGGAGAGCAGGGTGACTCACCTGGGGACTAGGTCCTTGCCCAGGACAACAGCAGTCACAAATTCCTTGGAGTACTCCATCGCGTCCTCACTATAAGGAAAGCCGAGGGTGAAACTTAGGCCCGGGGGAGGGGGCCATGGTATCCCCAAGTGGGGGAAAGGCCCCCACGCTCCTGGGGTTTGCTTCTCGACTCAGGCCTCCAGAGGGGCTCGCAGGGGCCAGGCTGGGCTGCCTGCTTCCCATCGTACCTTTCCTGCCGAGAAGGCTTTGCCAGGGGAGACCCCGAGGTCCACCAGGCATTTTACACAGCCACCCTTTTCACTCTCCACTTGCTCTGTTGATCCAGGCTCCAACCCAGTGTCAATACCAGGCCATTCCCAGGCCTCCATGTGACCCAAAGCCAGTCCACCTAGTCCGGCCCCAAGCCCCAGCTAGCCACCAGCCAGCCCTGTCCAGCCCCAGCCACCTCTGAGGCCCCAGGCTGCTCACCTCAGCAGGCCCCCTGGTGGGGAGTAGGCGAAGCACTTAAGGGTCGGGTACTGGGGGCGCAGGAGGAAGGAGAGGATGGCAGCGGTCCCCGCGCCCAGGGAGTGGCCCACCACAATCAGGCCGTAGTGTTTGGTTCCGCGGCCCTGGGGACCGAGAGAAGCCTGAGCCCACTACCTGCCAAGGAAATTGTCTTGGCTGATACTAGGGGGCAGAGGGTCCTTCCAGGGTCCTGGGAGAGGGATTGTCTGGCTACTGGGGCAGGGGAAGAGCCAAGCTAGAACCCTATAGAGCAGCTTCTAAGGGACACTATTCTAACAAAGTCCTACTCATCTTTTGAAACCTTGCTCAGAGGTTACCTCCCCTTGGGGAAGCCCTCCTTGATTTTCTAGGAGAGGCTCATATTCTCCAAGGCATTTCACCTGTACCTGCAATAAACATTTTTATCACTACACTTGCTTCTCACTTATCAACAGAGTAGAGTTCCAAAGACCAGGCCGTTATGTGAAAATCGGCATTATGTAAAAATGGAGGATGACCACATGACATCACAAGATGGAAGATGACTACGTCATTACATAACTGCCAAATCACATTACATAACTGCCAAATTACATCATTACATAACTGCCAAACCACTAAGAATCACAGCCCAGCCACACTGACACATAACCTTAACCACTACAGTCAGTGTCACCCTCACCTCGCACCTCAGTGTTTGTCACTGCCAGATGTACGTCGTTAATGTGCAAAATAATCAGATAGCAGAATTTTTACTGTTGTCGTAAATGAGAAATGTCGGATAACGAGGCAGTCGGTAAGTGAGGAATAGGTGTATAGTGATTACACAATCTTATAGTCAGTTGGTTACCTCTCTACTCCTGCACCCCAACAACTAGACTGGGGCCTCGGAAGCCCCTGCACAGGGAGGGCCAGTGGGCTCAGATGGCTCCAACCAGAGCAGTGCCACTTCTGTGCACTCTGTGACTGCTTTCTTGTCATCCTGCTCTATATTTTGAGCTTCTCCGTGACATTTCTTTCCGACAAAGAGTTCTGCAGTGACAGAGCTTTGACCCCCTGGCCTGAATCATATTTGTGCCTCCAGTGCCTGGCACAGGGCAGGGGCTACAAAACTGAGCATGGGGCCAAGCAGGGCATCCATGAGGAGCTGGTACAGGAGCAGGGGGTGGTCAGAGGGACCACGCTAGGAGAGGGCTGGGAGTCAGGGAGCACAGGAGAGTGTAGGGGCCTGTCCTGGGGATGGCTCCATCCACTCCCCTCTTCCTCCTCTGTTGCCCAGGGAGATGGGCAGCCAGGTGCAGCATGGAAAAAACCTCACCAGATCCCGCCCGAAGGCCTGGGACAGGACCATTTCCTGCTCCAGCTTCTTCTTGATGTACTCAGCTGAGAGGACCATGCCCTGGGTGAGAACAGAGGCAGTGCTGAGGGAAGGGTCCTGGCAGGGAGGAGGCTTCCAGTGACGAGTAAAACCACAGAGACCCACAGCTTATCGACCCTGGCCCTCCTATGTTCCTTGTTGACCTGGGGCATGGGGCTGGTGGACACATTGACCTCATCATTTCCATTTCACAGATGAGAAAACTGAGGCTCAGAGGGATTCTGTGTTTAATAGAAACTCGTGTGATCTCTTAGAAGCTGCCTCCTCAGGCTCTTCTGGGGACAGGATCTGGGCCAGGCAGGACTGTGGGCTCCTGGTGGAGGGGCCATGGTGGACTTTCTGGGCTAATCCACACGTCTCTAACCGAGCACTCGGGGTGCACCCAGTGAGCAGGGAGGAACCGTCAGCTATAGGACCTGTCTGCATGCTGAGAGGGGAGGGGGAGGGAGGCAAGGCCCTGGGATGGCCCACGAGATGAGGTACCTTGTGTCCCAGCCACGTTCCATGGTGCCCCTCCACGGGGAGGCGCTCAGCATCGCCGGTCAGGTCAGTCAGCGCGTCCTGGGAGAGAAGGGACAGGTGAGAGCATGGGGCCGAGGGGGACAAGAAGAGGGAGACAGGTACCCCTTGGGAGCCATGAGGATGTCCCCAGAGGGGGCTGGGAAGCCTATGGGCAGCATACCTTGGGGGAGAGGGTTCCCCGGATACTGATCACCACTTTCTTCTTGTCGTGGTCCACTGCCACGTAGAAGGGGGTTTCATAGACCTAGAAGGCAGGCAGCTCATGAGACTGAGTGGCCCCTAGAAGGGGGCTAGGCTGTGGGAAAGTGACCAGTAAGTCCTCTTCCCGGCCAGGACATCTGGCTCTATGGCCCCTGGGCCCCTGATGCCTGCAAGGCTGACGGGCTCCTGGTGGCACTGAGACACCTCTCGTCCCCGGCACGTGACGTCTCAGGCCTTTCTGGAGCAGCCCCTGCCCCCTGCCTGCCAGCTCCTCTCTGACCCATGGCAGCCCTGCATGCCGCCTCCCTGCCTGCTGGAACCCGATGGACTGCTGCCCCAGGCCCATCCCAGGTAGCTCAGCCCCCACCGCCCCCACCCCCAGGTTACACGTTCCCTTCCCCACTCCTTCTTCCCTCGGTCCCTTTTCCCCAGAAGGGTGGGACTGGGAAACCCAATACTGGGTGCAGGGCTGTGTCTGCTCTCCTGGCCCCCAAGGTGGTGTGGGCCAGGGTGTGGCGAGAAGGAGGGGGACCCACTTCTGGTCTGCCCAGCTGGGGGAGGCCTGGAGGCTACAGCCAGCCAGTGGCTTGGGAGGAGGCCTGTGGCACTCCAAGCCTTTAGCACCTGCTCCCTGTCCTCTGAGCAGCCTGTCTGTCCGCACCCTTGTCATCCCCACACCAGACCCAGCCCTGCCTGCTCCACTGCAGCCAGTGGGGTGGGGGGTGACAGGGGACTGAACCCGTCACTGGCTGGAATGTCCGCCCTGACTGGCTCCCAGCCCTAGCCTGAGGGTCTGTGGGGCAGCCCCCTGGCTGCCGGCCGCCCGGCCCCTCACCGCGTCGTGGCAGGAGGTGTAGACAATGTCCACCGCAGTCATGTTCTCATCCAGGAAGTGGCGCCGAATGGCGATGGCATTGCAGCCACAGCAGTTGTCTTCCTCGATGGTGACTCCGGGGGCGAACCGGGGCCGCGTGGGGCACAGGCAGCACCTGGGTGTGGGGTGGCGCAGCCTCAGGGCTGGGACCACGACAGAGCAATTTCCTCTCCAAACTGCCCTTGCTACATCGCCGGTGACTCCCAATTGCCTAACCGACTGCCAATCCCCGGCCCTCGCCCCACCCTTCCTCCACCGAGAAGAGCTCCCTCACTTGGGTGGAGGCACCCTCTTGGTTGAGAGGCAGTTCGAGTCCACCCAGAGGCACCTTAGAAGAAAGTCCTGGTGATCCACTTCCAAAAACTCAGCCACTGAAAACCCTACAGAACACAGTTCTACTCTGACACAGATGGGGTCACGTGATCCCGCATCTTGATGGTAGCTAACGACAACAGATGTTAACGAATCCACTGCAGACCTACTCCTGACCTCCAGACACTGATCCGCAACTGCCTACACAACATCGCCACTCAGATGTCCAACAGGATCTCAACCTTTCCAGGCCCAAGGCCCAGGGTCTGACTGCTCGCCGTGGCCTGCCCCCTCAGCCCCCCACACCCCTCCGCCAGCAACTCAGCCTCACAACTGGAGCCATCTTTGGCTCCTGCTCCTCTCATACCTGCTTCCAGCTGGTCAGCACATCAGCTCTGCCTTCAATTCAGAATCAGCCCCCCACTTTGTTCCCCCGCCCCCCACCTCCTCTACCTGGTCCAGGCCGCCGTAATCTCTGCCCAGGATTCCTGCAATGGTCTGAAGGCTCTCCCTCATCTACACTTGCCCCTACATTCTCAACTCAGTAGCTGAGTGACCCTTTTGAAATGTAAGTCAGGTCAGATCACTTCTCCACTCAAAACCCTGCTTGCCCAGTGACTGCCTTCTTGCCCAGCGCGAAAGTCAAAGGCCTTACAACAGCCAGCCTCTGGGCCCTCCCCACCTGGCCCCTTCCCTGAGGTCTGCCTTCCACTCCCCCCTCCCTCCCTCCAGCATGCTGGCCTTCTTGCTCTGCCTCAGCGTCTTTGCACTGTGATACTCTCTGCCCACAACACCCCCTCCCAATGTTGGCGTGTATTATAACGACGTGCAAAGAGCTGGAGACAGAAAACCAAAAGGGAAGAACATGTTCGGCATTCCTCAAGCTGAAAGAAAATATTAAACGATGCAGGAAGCATCAACAGAAGACAGAAAGAATACAGAGTCATTATACCAAAAAGAATTGGTCGACGTTCAACCATTTCAAGAGGTAGCATACGATCAGGAACCGATGGTGCTGAAGGAAGAAGTCCAAGCTGCACTGAAGGCATTGGCGAAAAACAAAAAATTGACGGAATATCAATTAAGATGTTTCAACAAACGGATGCAGTGCTGGAGTGCTCACTCATTTATGTCAAGAAATTTGGAAGACAGCTACCTGGCCAACCAACTGGTATAATCCATATTTATGCCTATTCCCAAGAAAGGTGATCCAACTGAATGTGGAAATTATCAAACAATATCATTAATATCACAGGCAAGTAAAATTTTGCTGAAGATCATTCAAAAGTGGCTGCAGCAGTATGTGGAAATTCAGGCCAGATTCAGAAGAGGACGTGAAGCCAGGGATATCATTGCTGACGTCAGATGGATCCTGGCTGAAAGCAGAGAATACCAGAAAGATGTTTACCTGTGCTTTATTGACTATGCAGAGGCATTCAATTGTGTGGATCATAACAAATTATGGATAACATTGTGAAAAATGGGAATTCCCGAAAGCTTAATTGTGCTCATGAGGACCCTGTATACAGATCAAGAGGCAGTTGTTCAAACAGAACAAGGGGATACTGCATGGTTTAAAGTCAGAAAAGGTGTGTGTCAGGGTTGCATCCTTTCACCATACTTATTCAATCTGTATGCTCAGCGAATATTCTGAGAAGCTGGACTATATGAAGAAAGAAAGAGGCATCAGGATTGGAGGAAGACTCATTAACAACCTGGGATATGCAGATAACACAACCTTGTTTGCTGAATGTGAAGAGGACTTAAAGCACTTACTAGTAAAGATCAAAGACCACAGCCTTCATTATGGATTACACCTCAACATAAAGAAAACAAAAATCCTCACAAGTGGGCCAGTAAGCAACATCATGATAAATGAAGAAAAGATTGAAGTTGTCAAGGATTTCATTTTACTTGGATCCACAATCAATACACATGGAAGCAGTAGTCAGGAAATCAAAAGACGTATTGCATGGGGCAAATCTGCTGCAAAAGACCTCTTTAAAGTGTTGAGAAGCAAAGATGTCATCTTCAAGACTAAGGTTTGCCCCACCCAAGCCATGGTATTTTCAATCGCATCACATGCATGCGAAAGCTGGACAATAAATAAGGAAGACAGAAGAATTGACGACTTTGACTTGTAGTGTTGGCGCAGAATACTGAATATACCATGGACTGCCAAAAGAACGAACAGGTCTGTCTTGGAAGAAGTACAACCAGAATGCTCCTTAGAAGGATGGCCAGACTACATCTCACATACTTTGGACATGTCAGGAGGGATCAATCCCTGGAGAAGGACATCATGCTTGGTAAAGTAACAGGGTCAGCAAAAAAGAGGAAGACCCGCAATGAGATGGACTGACACAGTGGCTGCAATGATGGGCTCAAGCATAACGATTGTGAGCATGGCGTAGGACTGGACAGTGTTTGGTCTGTGGTGCATAGGGTCGCTACGAGTCGGAACCGACTTGATGGCACCTAATGATGACAACAATATTGGTGTGGCTGCCCCTCGCCTCCTCCAGCCTCTGTTCAAACATTGTTTCACAGTGAGGTCTAGCCCAGTCACCTCATCTAAAACAGTCCCCATCCCCATGATGCACCCTGCTTTATGTCTCTCCCAAGTACCCATCTACTCCGATGTGCCACATGTCTGTACTGTCTGCCTGTCCCCACTAGGCTGTGGGCTCCTCAAGGGCAAGGCTTTATTTGGTCCCCGGCACCAAAATCTGTGCCAGCCACACAGGAGGTTTAAAGGATGAACAAGTGAGCTTTTGGGCTAGGAACCAGCTGGGGTGCAGCTGCTCCTCTGGCCACCAGAGGGAGCCAGCACCCAACAGATCCAGCACCAGCACCGCTAGCACGTGATCCTGCATGCGAGTTGCGGGGACACGACAGCTGAGGTTTTATGAGAATCTTGGGTTTCAGTGATGCTGAGAGATTTGTCCTCACTCAGAGCAGCACCTGCTGGGCTGTTACACACTTTCTGACAGTGAGAGGCCTCGTGGAGAAACTTCAGGGTTGAGCCAAATCTCAGAAGCCACTGGGTCTGGCGGTGTAGAGGGTGCCTGCGGTGGGAGAACCACCCTAGGGCAATGCCCACCGGGACAGCCCTGGCCGCTGGCCCGAGGGGAGCCCCACCCACCCCCACTTCCAGGTCAGGGGTCTGAGCTCCTATCCTTGGGCGGCTGCCTCCTCTGGTGCTAAGGAGGAGGTGGTAACAGCTTGGCCAGGAGATAGGAGGCTTGGGTTTGAATCTTGCTCTGTGTCACATACTGGCTGTGAGGGCCTGGAGGTGGTTCAGTTTCCACCTCTGTAAGAGTGGGGTGCTGACAGCTACTTCATCACAAGGCTGGTGTGACATCAAATGCCAAGATGCAGAAAGGGCCTGGCACACCACAGGCGCTCAGTAAATGCTAGCTCTCCCTCTCTCGTGACAGGGGCTGTCTCAGTCAGCGCTCTCAGGGGCCCTGCTGGTGTCTTTGAGGGCAACATTCCGCCACAAGGAGGCAGGAGCGGGGTGGGAGGCTGTGGGAGCCAGGATGCCGGCCTGGTCTCTCAAAAGCTGAGTAGGGGTCTGTCGAGGCAGCAGGGCCCTGGGCAGGCTGGGGAAGTGCTGCCAGGTGAAGACCCTAGAAAGAGGCAGGATGGTGGCCCCCCTTCCCTGGGCCGGCCCCTGGGATCCAGGGCTGCAGTGGGCAGGCGCGGGTGCTGGGAAGGGCGCCTGGCCCTCTGGCTTCGAATGACACCCCTGGCTGCACAGCCTGGGTTCAGCCTGCCTCATCTCCATCCATGGCACCTGGTTCTTCAGGCGTGAGCCGTTTGGCCCTCCTGGGGTCTCAGGAGCGTCTGTTCTCTCTCCATGGCATCAAGAAGCCTGATGTAACACCTCCTGTTTGTGGAGCACCGAAAAAGCCCAGCCGGCCTGTGACCCCCTGGACTCTGGGCAGGCAGGACAGACACCCCCTGTACAAGTGAGGAGCCCCCTGAAGCTGCCAGTGGCAGGGCCAGTCAGGGCCCAGGCCTCAGGACCCTGGTCCTGTGCTCATTTGGAGAAGGTTCTCCGCCACAGCAGGGCCCCCAAGAAGGCTAGTGTGTGAGGGCTCATAAAGATGGGGAGCTGGAGATGCCCTGGTCCTCTCTGATCAGGCGCCAGGGGGGATGGTGGGAACAAGGTCCCGAGTGCTGCCCAGATTGTCCAAATGGAAGAAGGCCAAAAGGAGGGCACACCGTACAGCTGTGGCTGCTGAGGACAGATGCTGCCTTCCCAACACGCCAGCCTTTCCAGGGACAGGGAGCCCTGGGAGCTGTCCTCCTTCTGCCTGTGTGGGCTGAGGGCGGAGACACCCAGGACAGGGAGGGGCCCTCTGTGGAAGAGGATGCCCCATCTGGCCCACTTAGGAGGGCAGTGTGCACCCCAGCCCTCAGCCCTGCCGGTAGCCTTTCCCAGCCCCCTCCTGACAAGGGTTGGGGTCTTTGATTAAAGGGCCTTCTGGATGACTTTCCAAAGGCCTCTGCATTGGGCTCTCCCTGCCTTTTCAGAAAGGCAGAGCACAGCAGGGGAGGGGGAGAGAAGGGAAGATGCAGGCAGAGGGGTTGGTTGAAGGGGCAGAGAGAAAGAAGGAAAGGGAGGAACCAGCAGTGCCAAACACTGTGCAACATCTCATTTAATCCTCTCAAAAACTTCTGTGAGGCATGCATCACCATCCCCATTTTACAGATAAACAAACTGAGGCTCTGGGAGGTGGAATGATGTGCCCAAGGCTGCGAGAGACAAAGTCTGGATTCAGACCCCAAACCGGGTGACTCCACAGTCCACGCTCTTCACTGCCCTGGGATCACGCAGAACTAGAACACGGTCGAGGCCCAAGAACACACAGGAGGAAGGCAGCATGGCCGGGGGAGGCAGCGGGGCAGCAGGCCTCCCAGGGGCAAGCCCAGCCACATCCTCTGGGCTCCTCCTCACACGGGTGGGCGGGGCGCTGGCATCCCTGGGCCGGGGCAGGGGTACTCACGAGCAGGAGCGCGCCAGCTGGCAGAGGCCGCAGGCTGGCTTCCGCATCAGGTACATGGGCCAGCCGTAGGCAGCCAGGGCGAAGAGCATGTAGTAGCAGACCTCCTTGTAGCGGAGCATCTCTTGCTGGAAGAAAGGAGGCAGAGAGCATCCATTAAACGCTGCCCTTCCTGCCTGTGGCCTCAGGGCCCAGAAGGACAAGGACACTGCCTCCGAGCCTCCCCGCTGCCCGCAGATCCGTGCCCCCAGCAGGGAGGGGCTGCCGAGTTGTGGGGCTCCAGCCTGGGAGGAGGCCAGCTCCTCCAGACGATAATTGCATTTCCCTAATTATCTCCATGCAACCAGGGCGCGAATACTCCCGGGGCCTGTCCTGTTGCTCCACTCTCAGAATTAATGATTTGGGGACAGAAAAACACTTGAACACTAGATCGATTTCCTTGCCCGCTTTCCCAGGAAGGAAAAGAGGTGAGGCTCGGGAGAGGCTGGGAGTAGCAAGCGTGGGGCCTCAGCAATCAGGCCAGGGTGGGAGTGTGCTGCTTGGGAAGGTTTAACCCTGCAAAGCCTGGGGGCAGCCGGGTGTCCAGCAGGCCCTGAGCAGCAGGGCAGCCTGGAGACAGGACAAGCTGCTCAGTGTCCGGCCCCAGCTCCTCTGCGGATACAGGGACACTCTATCAGTTGACTCATGGAGTCACAGGGCTCCCGGAGGCAGTGGGAGGCTGCGTCTGGGGGAGATTGGGATCTCTCTGGAGAAAGGCGCCAGTTTGAAGCCAAGTGTGTCTGTGGCTGAGTGGCTGGCGTTGACAGACCAGTTGTTATCAGCGTGATGGGCGAGAGGGAGGCGGGAGGCACAGATGTCCCAGCAAAGCAGCTTCCCGTCCGAGTGCCCCAGGCACTGGGAGGCCTCCGGTGTACTTAGAGGGAATTAGTCACCTTGTTAAAGTTAGAGGGTGATTAGTCATCCTGTGAAGTGGCATAGGTAGTGCCTTAATCAAGGCCCAGAGGGGTAGAAACGTCCCCAGTCGTTCTGTCTGCTCTTCAGGAACGAGCTGGAGAAGGTAATTATCCTTGTTGTGTGGAGGAGGTTCTGCGCTGGGCAAGGCGGGGTGGGCAGCCGCCGCTGGCGGCAGACTCAGACCCAGGGCCCAAGCACCCTGCTGCCCCCTGCCCTCCGTGCCAGGTGGGGGGCAGTGGGGAAAGCGGTGGTCAAGAGCAGCCTGGGAAAGTCTGGGAAAGGGAGATGGGCTGGCTTGGGGCACCTGCTGTGGAGGTGGCCGTTTCTAAGGGGGGTGCAGATGCCTGCTTTGGGAGGTGGAGAGAAGGGTGCTTCTCTAACAGATTTAGGTGCGCAGATGATCCTTTCCAGCAGCATCCATGCTGGCCCTGTCCTTTATCGGCACTGTGCTGGGAGCCGGGTGCAGGACAGCTCATTTCATCCCCTTGGCAGCTCAGTGCAGAAAGTGTGCCAGAGTCATTTTACACCTGACAGGACAGGCTCAGAGGGATGAGGGCCTGGCTCCAGGTCACAGCGATAGGCGGTGGGGCTGATTCAGATCGGTTTGTTCCCCGGCTGCACAGGGCCTGAGGTGGGGCTCCCCAGCCTCACCGACCAGCTAAAGGCGCTGAAGAAAGGGTTCTGCTACTCAAAAACGTGGGGAAGCAAAGTGCCACACCCGCTGCCTTTTATAACAGCAGCCGTCACAGCAGCAACGACAGCTCAGCCCGTGAAGCACTTTGTAGTCTCCAGCGGCCAGGACCAAATGTGCTGGGCTGGGCTAAACGGACTCGGGGTCTCGTTTGTGGGCTGTGGGGGTTCTCAGGGAGGGGGAAGCGGATGTGATCTGCGGAGAGGGACTCTCTGGAGAGCTGAGAAGGAGACTCATCACGGAGCAGGTGGGGCCAGAGCCCAGGGCAGCTGGCAGGTGGTCTGCTCATGTTAATTCCTGCAGAGAGAGAAAGGCATGGGGCACAGGGTGGGATGGGGGGACAGGGATGATGGAGCATCCCTGCGGTGGTTTCTGACTCACCGAATTTTTGAGGTCGAGGTACTTGGTGTTTCTGGTCACGGGCATCCCAGACAGGAAGGCCAAGATGTCGTTGTTCGCCTAGAAAACAGACACGTGAGGATGGGTGCCGGTGGCCCAGGCCCAGCCACTGGCCAACAAGGGCTGTCCGGGCCCCTGGGCTCTGCATACTGCCTGCTGTCCGAAGGCCTGAGAAGCCCCAGGAAGCGTGTGGCTTCTAGCTCTTCCACAACTCGGTTTCTCCAAAATTCGAGGTCTCCTCATTACCTCCAATTGCTCCCCTCCCGTCCAAGCATCAGGCTCCTGGGACAGGGGACGCTCCTAGCCCAGGCCAGGGGGAAATGTATTTTGCAGGAGATACTGAGAGACCTCAGCGTTGGTGTTGGTAGCACTGGGGTTGGGGTGGGGGAATGGGGGTGAGACAGGCAAACGCAGACGGCTAAGGCACTGAGGCAGGGGAGTCACTCAAGACAGCATCAGAATGGCTGGGGAGGAGAGGAACTGGGGACAGGAAGGGGGCATCCAAAGGTGACCCCAGGGCCCAAGAAGCTGTGCAGGAGCTGGGGCGGCAGGGCAGGGGCCCACTGCGCTCACCTCGTCCAGAACGGCGTTGCGTTTGGCCCGCTGTCTCTGCCGGAGCAGCACCAGGCCAGCGATGATGTCAGATGGCACAATGTCGAGGTCCCGGAAGAACTCAGCAAAGAGGTAGGCGATTTCCGAGTAGGCATCCTGGGAAGTCCAGGGAGACAGGAGGCGGATGGCAGGGGAGCAGGAGAGAGGAGGCAAAAGCAGGCATTAAATCCCCCAGGGGATTTTCGAGAAATGGAGTTGTGGAAGAGCTAGAAGCCACATGCTTCCTCGGGCTTCTCAGGCCTTTGAGCAGCAGGCAGTGTGCAGAGCCCTGGGGAGGAAACTCTTCTCTGCTCTGGGCCCCTGTGCAAGCTCACTCCAGTGCCTCCACAGGCTTCATGCAGCCCCGACCCTGAGGGCCTGTCCTGGGCTCTGGGCCCTCAGACCTAGCAGAACCTGTCAGGACAACCCTGTTCCATCCTCCACCTCCTGGCCCTGGGGTCTCTTCTCTCCTCCGAGTCCCTGTGGCGCTCACAGTCTACCACACGCAGATGCCAACGTGGCCAATTTCTGGTTCTCTTTGCCCAGACACCAGGAATCAAGGCCTGGAGAGCCCCGGCCTATCTCTTCTCCCAGCCTTTCGCTCCAGCCGAGAAGCCAACACTGAGCTCCCGGCTGCTCCTACCCACTCAGCTTGTACTTCCAGCTGTGACCTTGGAGGAGTCCCCTTCCCCACCTCTCCTGGCATGGTTCTATTGAGACTCCCAGATCTCAGGCCCCCTCCCAGAGCTACCCACGGGCCGCCGACATGACCCTTATGATGTACCTGGAGAAAGGATGTGACTGCATGGTCAATGGCCCCCTGGCTTCACCCCAAGTCCTCGTCTTTGGGCACAGCTCATGTGTAGGGCCTCGGGCAGACCCTACTGACGAGCACACTGTGTGTCTCCCAGCCTCCCACCAAGCTGTGGGCTTAAACTATTCTCCCTGACCTGTGAGGAGGCTGTGATGGGAAGAAGCTCAGGGCAGCTAGTTCTCTCACTGGGTCTCACCCTGAGCGTCTGACACTTGCAAGAAAATAAATCAAGGGTTGCAAGCTCAAATAACGAATGAGTTCAGGCAGGGCCCTCTGCTACTTAGCTCCAGCTGCCTCGCCCAGCAAGAGTGCTCGTGCCCTCAGATCCAGACAGACAAAAGTTTATACAAGCATCCCTGATTTTTAAATGCTGGCATCCAATTCAAATCTTCAAGCAGCACAGCACAGCTGATCAAAGCGTACTTTGGACTGGTCCTGACCCCTGGGCTGTCAGCATCTGACCTCTGTGCTAGATTCTTCCAGAACCCCAGCTCTGTGGCTTCCTCCTGTGACATTCTGCCTTTTTGCTGAGCTCCAGCACAGCCCTGACCCTGTGCCCGTGTGTCTGGGAGAGGTGGGTGTACCCTCAGGCCTGGCGGCCCAGCCTCCACCTGCCAGGGGGCTGTTCCACGCCCTCTGCATGGCCGGCCTGGCCCAGCCCTGGGCCGTGACCCCTCAGGTCCCCCAGAGAGACCTGTGGAGGTGCTCCTACCCACCGGGGACCTCGGAAAGCTTTCTTACACTTGGCTACTCATGCTACAGCTCACCAGGGGCTGTGGTGGGGAGGGCCACTCGAGGCCTTCTGGGTGGCTTCCACGGGAGGGCACTTTGCTGCCTGGCTCAGTGAGGAGTGTCTGCCATCCTCCCTGGCTCTGCCACTAACTAGCTGTGGGATGCTGAGCAAGGTGTGCCACCTCTCTGGGCTCCAGCGGCCTGATCTGCAAAATGAGGGTGGGGCTAGATGACCTCTAAGGGCCCTGCCGGCCTGTGGTGCTTCGACTCGAGGGCCCTGGCCGCCCCTGCTCCCCCAGTGCCCCCTCCTGCAGCCCGGGCACTGGCCCATCTGGCCCTCTGTTACTATGAAGCCGTCTCTGGCTGTGCTGAGAGCTTCAGGTATGAAGCTCCGGAAGCCCCTCAACCCTGAGGTGGATCTTCTGGATCAACCTGCAGCTGGTGACGTGCTGCTTCTCCTGTCTCTGGGTTGCCTGAGTTTTGAGCATCTCTGCTCCTAAGCTGGAGTGTAAGTTCTGCGGGATGGACGCGAGGCCTTCAGATCCTTCTGGTCCCTTGGCAAAGCAGGTGGCCAGCCGTCTTACACACTCACGGCATCGGTCGACGAAGAACAGATCTGCATGTGAGTGGGCAGTCACCCTGCACTAGCACAGCTCCCCTCACCAGACCTCCCCCACTCACGTCCCAGCTTTGCCTAAGGAGTGAAGGGCTCCTGACCGCCCAGAAGCGGAGGGAGGTGAGGCCCAAGGAAGCGCCTCCCAGTACTTACTGACTGGGAGTCCTTGGTCCGTGTGCAGCAGAGGAATACTTTGAGCCGGCGTGACCAGCTGGTGGCCTGACCCTCCTCTAAGCGGTGCCTGCAATGGGGAGAGGGGGGTCAGTATGTGGGAGGTCAGCAGGCAAGGCCCAGATGTGGTGGAAACAGGACGGTCTGTTCCTAGGGCCCCACCAAAGGACTCGCTGGCAGGGGGAGCTGGGGGGAAGAGGGCCCAGGCCCAGACACAGCTGGGTGGCCAGTGACCAGGATGTTGGCCAGCGGGGACACTCGCTGGGTGGGGGGGGGCTCCTACTGGCCTAAGATGGGGTGCTGGTGGCCATGCCCTGTGGCTCTTGGCAGTATGAACTTGGACAAGAGCTGGGAGCCCAAAATGGGAGCTGCAGCCCAGGTGCCCAAAGGCTCAGACTAAGCACCTGGGAGAGGTGAGCAGGGTGCTGGGCCTCTCTGCCAACTTGTTCTGAGGCCTCAGACAGACTGCTTCTCATCTGAAAGGATCTCAGACACTCACACCCTCCAGACATACGGGAAGCTTCCAGGGCTGAGTGAAGCTCTGCATTTCCCAATTCCTTTGACCTGTTATGCAGGTCTTCCCCCTCATCTGCATGGCTGGCCCCTGTCCACACCCTCTGCCCCAGACCCAATGGTCTGGCTGCTCTGATGAGGAAATGGTACCCAGGAGGCTGGGCCCCTTAACCCAAAGGCACAACAGTGGGCTAATTATTCCACGGAGTGCCCCCACCACCCCTCCCCATGCTGGGTGCCCCGGAGTCTGTGTGTTGAGCATAAAAATAACAGCTCCAACACTAAGCATGTAAATGCCCAAACTGAGAATGTTCTGTGACACGTGTCCTCTCGCAGTCCCCTGGGGGTCAGCAGGGGAAGGCAAGGGTAGCTCTCAAATGCATTCAAGGCACTTAGCACCCATCAGGAGTGACAGGCAGGCCCTCCTTCCTGAGCCCCTTGGCTCCTCTCTGTGGTTAAGGACAGCACCCCCGCTCCCCAACCCTGGCTCCACAAGGAGACACAAGGAGAGAGAAAGTAAGGAGGCCTCCCAGGGCCTCAGGAGGGGGCCGGGAAAGAGTACCAGGGAATCGCTGTTTCTGGGAGCTGCCAGCCCTTAGGGACCTGGGCAGCCTTACAGATCCTAAACCAATGACCCACCTGCTGATGGTCTTGATGAAGGGACAACCCATTGGCTAAGCTGGGTTCCCTGAGCATCACATTCTTTAACCCTTCATAACCTAATAGGGCTTTTACACTTTCAAGGAGAATTTCCTGCTGGGCCTCTGGCCTGACACAAGGGCTGACTGGACACTTTATTGCAGTACCCTTTATGCACACCAGGGGGCAGATGATTTTAGGAATCTGTGTGAGACAGTTGCAGAGACAGGTCTGGCCTAGTGCATCAGGAAGGCTACCAAGGCCAAGAAAGGGAGACACATACTAAACTTGGACAGGAAGTTCACAGACCCCAGCACCCTCTGCCTGCGACCCACTAAAGTGAGGAAGGGCAGACACTTCTTTGGCAAAGGTCTAAGGTCAAGGCTGCCAGGGAGTAGTGATGGGAGTAACTCCCCCTGCCCCCGGGAGATTTCACTGGGAGGAGAAAGGGCCAAGGACTCTAACAGCTTCACGACTTCCAAAAAGGAAAACAGTCTCTCAGTGTGGTGTCACAGGTGCATGCAAGCCCCCAAACCTGCAAGTTGCTGACCTGAAAATTTCCTGGCTGGAAAAACTGCTTGTTGGCTTCAGAGCAGAGAATGGGCAAACAGAGAATGGCCTGACGGGGGTCAGATTTAACCAAGCCCCGAGGCCCAGGTTACCCTCCCTGCCAAGCCCAGCCCAAAGCCAGAGCAACCACAACAGGTGAGGAGCCTGTGAGCGCCTGGCTCTCGTTCACCTGCATGGTCCGAAAACCAAAGGAAAGTTTTCTAATTAAAATGACGCAACCAACAGCCACCCACTGCAGAGGCACTGGCTGCCCTGGGCCCTAAAAGCAATTACCGAGAGACAGGGAGGGAAGTTTTTCTAGGACCCAAGGAGCCCGGAAACCAGGTCAGGTAGGGGTGCGTGCTCAGAGTGAGCGAAAACGGGTGGATGGTGGTGGCCGCTGGCAGGAGGGACATGGGCTGGAGCCATGGCTACAAGGCCTAGTATTTAGGGCAGGGAGTGGCTCAATTAGGCATGGGTGTGGTTCTGGCTGCAGTGCTGAGCTGATGTGGAAGGTCTGAGGGAAGCCAAAAGTAGAGGTGCAGGACGGTGGGGTGGAGAGCACCCCTGCTGGGCAGTGGGGCCAGGGCCACCTGCCGCAGGGGTGGGGGCTCCTGACCCAGCTGCTCTGGGCTGGAGGATGGAATGCCAGTTCTGCCCTCTTCTGGACTTGGATTCCTCATCTGGAGAGTGGTATCACAACCACACCAGGGTTGGCAAAAGGATTAAATGGACTAATTATGTAAAGCAGCCTTGGTGGTTTCAGAGGCAGAATTCTCGTCTCCCATGCGGGAGACCTGGGTTCGATTCCTGGCCAATGCAACTCATGCACAGCCACCACCCGTCTGTCAGCGAAGGCTTGCGTGTTGCTCTGATGTTGAACAGGTTTCAGCAGAGCTTCCAGACTAAGATGGACTAGGAAGAAAGGCCTGGCCATCGACTTCTGAAAATCAGCCAATGAAAACCCTATGGATCACAGTGGTCAGATCCCCAACAGTCCAATCCCCAACCCATCACGGGGATGGTGCAGGACCAGGACGTGTTTTGTTCCACTATTTATGGGGTTACCATGAGTTGAGGGCTGACTTGACAGCAGTTGACAACAGCAACAACAACCGTGTTGAGGGCTCGGTGCAGGGTCTAACTCATAGTAAGAGCTCAATTAACAGAAGTTACTGTAACCCTGCCTGGATGCTGGCCTTCATTTTCTCTGCCGTACCACAGCATTCCCCCTTTTCAAAACACGATGCAAAACTCACCTCCTCCAAGAAGCCTTCCTTAACCTCTTCCAACCCCCTTAACAGGAGCCCTGGTGATGCAGTGGTTAAATGCTCCACTGCTAGCCAAAAGGTTGGCAGTTTGAACTCACCAGCCGCTCCGTGGGAGAAAGATGTGGCAGTCTGCTTCCATAAAGATCATAGCCTTGGAAACCCTATGGGGCAGTTCTACTCTGTCTTACAGGGTCGCTATGAGGCGGAATCAACGGAATGGCAGTGGGTTTATCAGGTGGGGGTTGGAATTGACTCGACGGCAACGGTTTTGGTTTTGGTTTTGCTAACCCCCTTAATGCCAGAGGCAGTCTTGCCTCGTGGTTAAGAACAAGACTCTAAAGCCAGATCTAAAGACTCTAAAGCCTGGATCCTCACCATTTTCTAGCTGTGCAACCTCAGACAAGTCACACAACCTCTCTGTGCTTCAGTTTCCTCATCTGTATTATGGGGGTGATGATAATAACTAGCTCATGGAGTTGTTCTAAGTTAGTATGTATAATGCACTTAGATGGTGCTTGGCTTGGTTTGTGTTTCCCGCCATCACCGTAGCTGTCGTTAGCACTGATGGTGATGATGGTAACAACAATGGCTACCATTTACTGAGCACTTACAGGTGTGAGCACCATGGCGGCCACTTGGCCTGTGTCATTTAAATTCCACTCCGAATCAGGACCTGTTACAATTCCCACCTTGTAGACAAGGAAACTGAGGCAGGGAGGAGTGAAGCCTTCGACTGGTGCCCATGGCTCACACTAGGCTGAGCTGCAGTTTGGAAGTGGGGGGCACCTCCTGGGGAGCCGGGACCTCACCTCTGCTGTCGGCCAGCAAACCCGCGAGGGGGCCGCCCGCCCGCCCGCCCAGCCGACTGACCGCAGGTTGTAGGTCCGCAGGTTGCGCTGTCTCCTCTTGGTGGCTCGCAGCTTGACGAAGGTACGGCCCGTGGGGTCAAAGACGCAGAGGACGGTGATGCAGACGCTGAGGATGACCACCCAGTTGCAGACGACCATCCCTGCGGGGGCAGCAGTGGGAAGGAAGAGGTGGGGGCGCTGGGGGCACCTCCACACCCTCCCTGCCTCCCCAGCTGTGAAGAAAGGGGCACAGAAGTCTCCCTGTCCCCAGCTGCATCTGGGGCCCAAGAGCAAGGCTCAGAAGCCCCTGGTCCTAGCCTCTGGCTACGTGGCCGTCCCCTTGCTGAGCCATTCTCCCAAACTCACCCTCAGCACAGGGAAAGCAGCAATGGGGTGTCTAGGGAGGTCTTGGGAAGCTTGGAGGAGAAGCCTCTGTGCGTGTAGCTGCCCACCCTGACGAGGCACCCCAGAGGGGGATGGCAGGCCACAAGATGAAGGAGGCAGCCTCGCCTGCCAACCTGCTGGTGTCCTCACAGAAGTGTTTCCCTCTGGCCATGCCTGAGGCTCCTCCCCTCTAAACCAGCCCTGTCCCTTCCACCCCCAGGCCTGGCTGAGGCTCTGGGCGGGCCACATCGACGTACCGAGGGTGACATTCTTGGCAGTGAGGTCATTGCAGGAGGTGTAGTACTGAGTGAGCCAGACGATGCCCACAATGGCGTAGATGAACTCGATCACCAGGATGGCTGCAACAAGAGCAGGGCCTGGCTGGAGGATGGCCACCCAGGTGCCTGCCGGGGAACAGCCCGGAAACTTGCGAGACCTCCCAGCCGGCTCAGCTCTGGGGTGGGAGGCAGTGGATTCCGTCACATGCCCACACTGCCCCAATGCACAGGCCACATGGCAGGCAGTGCCTAGGGAGTGTGGCTGTCCTGCACCATTCCATCCTGCTGGCACCTGTATTGACCCTTGTAACGTGCCCACTGCCCACTCTGGCTTACGTACTCTCCGGCCCCAACGCCTTCCGGGAAGCTGACCAGGAAGGTGGATGAAGAGGCATTTTTCGCTCTTTCAGGATTTTATAATTACATGCACGAACTCTGGACTCAGATGTATCTTAGGAAAGTTACTTAGTCTTGCTAAGCCTTTGTTTACTCATCTGTAAGATGGGGGTGACAATGTTTATGTCGTCGGATCACGTGAGAATTAGATGTGTTCATGGAAACCGCTATTTCCCAGGAAGAGGCCTCTGAAACCTGAGGGAGGAGGAGGAAAGAGCCCCAGGGCCAGGTTGCCCAAAGTTTGCACCAAGCCAGCGCACTGAGCCCAGGGCCGGCATGGGAGAGGAGGAGATCAGGAAGCCCCACAGGGGACTGGGCGCAGAGTGAGAAGGCATTGGCCATACCCCCTGGGTGGCAGCTAGGAACTCAAGCGTTGGAGCCAGATGGTCTGGGTTCAAATCCCAGCTCTGACACTTACACACATACTAGCTGTGCTACCTTGAGGGAGTTAATTAGCTTACCTGGGCTCCAATTCCTCAACTGTAAAATGAGACTAATAATCACTCCTTTCTATGAGCTAACACATGGAAAAGGTCTTAGCACGGAACACAGCAAGCACAATAAAAGTGTTTGCTCTGAAGCACCAGGAGATGCAGCTGGCCCCATGGAGAGAGCAAAGCTGGAGCCCCAAGCCTGGCAGAGGATACAGGCTGGTTCTCTGTGAAGCTGGTCCAGGGCCCTCAGAGATTCCCAAGAAAGGGGTGGGCTTATTTTGAGAAGTATCACAGAGCAGCTAAACAGATGCACATGGTCTACAACAGAGCTCAGCAAACTTTTCTGTGAAGGCTGGACAGTAACTGTTTTAGGCTCTGAGGGCCATTCCATCTCTGTTGCTACTACTTAACTCTGTCGATGTAGCGCCAAAGCAGCCACAGGCAATATGTAAATGAACGAGTGTGTTACAATAAAACTTTATTTATAAAAACAGATGGTGGGCCGAATGTGGCCTGCAGGTCACAGTTTCTCCACCCCTGTGCTGGAATGTAATTGCATGAGGACTGGGACTTGGGTAGGCTTTGCTCATCATGGTACCTGGCTGCTAACACAGGGCCCGGCCACAGCATGTTCCTGGTACATACCGGATGAATGAATGAAAGAGCACAGGAGGACAGGGGCAGGGTGGGGCGCCTGCACCATCCCCGCCTGCCCAGGCTGGCGGCCCTTACCCAGGCGCACGTAGAGCACGTACTGCATGGAGTCGCGGGGCTCCGTGTAGAGAATGCCCCCACGCATGCTCAGCCAGATGATGGCCATCTCGGCGATCATGCAGCTCAGCAGGATGCCCAGGTAGCCACGGCCGTGGTCCACCAGGTTCAGCGAGCAGGCCTCGTGCGGGTTGTAGACCAGGCCAAAGAGCACCACAGACAGGATCACAAACCTGCGGGGACACCGCATGAGAGGCCCAGCCTGCCAGCTCTGAGCCGTACAGCTGCTGCACCTCCCACTGCCCTTGGATTCAGGCAAAGGGGGGTGTTACTGCTGGGCACAGGAGGGGGCAGCAGGCACCCCTCTCTGTGAGACCCCTCCTCTTGAGTGCCTCTGAGGGCCTGGGCGGCCAGGACCAGGGAGTAAAAGACTCAGGGACGGAGAAGCGGAAGCGGGCAGCCTAGCTGTCAGCTGTGGGGAGGCAGCAGCAGCAGCTCAGCCCAGCGCTGGGGTCAGGTCCACTGGGGCCAGGATGCGCATCACTCTAACAGGGTGGATGTTTCAGGTGCCTCCTCTGGGGGCTGGGAGCAAGACCGAGTCACGACTCAGGCTTGGCAGGGAGGAACAGATGGCCGGAAACCGTCCAGGCCTTTCTCCCCAAACCCAGGCCAGGCACGGCTGAGAGACTCACCAGGTGGTGTGCAGAAGGAAGAGGAAGACGGCTGGCAGGACGAGGTCATCGCTGCCCACAGACCAGCGCCGCCGGAACACCACGATCCCGGGCATGGCTGGCAGCTCTGCAGAGGCTCAGCGGGCCTGGCGTTCACCTCCTGGAAGAAGGCAGAGGGCTCTGCAGCTGCCTGGCCATTTGCAGCACCCAGGACCACTGTATGCCCAGGCCACTGGGCCAGTCCCAGGTATAACCAGCGGCACAGGCATTTCTGACACTGGTCACAAGTCCCAGCTCCTGTGGCCCAGGGGTCTCCAGGCCACTAGAAATACTGACCCATCTCTGGGTGGGACCCACCTCCTGTCCTGTCTGTCCCCTTCCCCCCAGCGCCAACACAAAGGACCTCAGCAGGCAGATACTGGCATCAGCCTTACCCCTGAGGTCTCCTGCCCCCAGGACTGGCACTGGCCCCTTGAGACCAGCTTCTTCCTGGAGTTACCCCAACAGTAATGCCCAGCTCCACTAAAGACGTGGGCTCACCCCTGCCTCCTCCGTGGGATCAGTGCCCCCGGCCCCTAGCCCCCTATTGTCCTTCTACAAGGAGGCCTGGCCCAATGCTCACAGTCCTTGTGGGGTGGAGGTAGGGGAACATCCCAGACCCAGACCGAGCTGGGCAGGGGGAGGCCAAATGCCCTGGTGGAGATGGGCACAAGGACGCGTACATGGTTGGGGGCTAGGATTGACGGAACACAGAAGGTGGGAAGGGCCCGGCACACAGTAGGTGCTCAATAAATATTTATTGTGCAAGCTCATCAGGCTATAGATTTGCTGGAGCCCTGGGAGCATGCCTAGGACTTGGATCTGCACCATCAGACAGAAGCCCCCAACAGCTCTGCCTCTTGGGAGGGAAGGACATGGTCACAGTATGGGGCCGGAATGATGGCTTGGGCACTGTGGGCCACATACTGCTGGAAGGGCAGGGGGAGCCCCCGCAGGGTAACCTGTGCTCCCAGGACCACACCTCCCACGCCCACCTGAGCCGAGCCACCTACAGACCCCAGCTCCCAACTCTCTGGAGTAGCTGAATTCCAATTAGCTCCAGGCTGGCTCGAGGGGAACATCAAGGAATCAAGGCCCCACCCCTTAGCCCGAGGAACCAGGTGGCTGCAGCCCGGGAGGCTCCCCTACAGGGGGCTGGTCCCAGAGGGGTTCCACGGCAGTCTTGCTGTGGGGGTCAAGAGTGCCCTGCTGGTGGGCAGCTGTCCACAGGCCGGCAGAGGCTTACACGGCACCTGGTCCAGGGGCGGGCGACAGGTCCTCCTCTCCCGGGTGACGGCTCCAGGGAAAACGTGTGTCCAAGGAGACTGGCATCACTTGGGAAGGAAGTGGCCAAATCTTGCTTGGCCGGTGGGCATGGCCCTCAGGGAGGACGGGTGGGTGTGGGGCCTGGAGGCTGGCTGGCATGTCTGGCCCCGAATGGCTCCCTGTCCCTGTGCGGCCACTTCGTGCAGCCCTGCCCGGCTGCTCCCGAGAGCTGCTGGCTCAGCAGGAGGGCGGGAGGGCTAGCCTACGGGGTCTTGCCTACTTCTCCCCCCACCCTCAGGAAGTGACATCATCCCATTCTGTCTCCGAGGAGGAGCTCTCGGATGCTGGGAAGAAGCCGGAGGAGGATGGAGAACGGGTGCCACGACTGAGGGCTGGCCGGTGGGTAGGGGATGGAGCCTGGAGGGGCTGGGGATTTGCAGTGAGTGTGACAAGTGGCTGAATGCACGGCTTTGGGTTCCAGATGATGGGATGGCAGGCAGCTGGGGGAGGACGGAGCTGCAGACAGCTGGTGTTTTCCTGGCTAATTCCCTCCAGCCCCTCCCAGTCTCCCTGGGTTCACCTGGTAGGTTGCAGGCTGGGTGGGGCTCAGGGGCCAGCACGGTCCCAACAGTGCTATAGCTCTGCACCCTGCTCTAACCAGAAGACTCGCAGCAGGAGGAAGGGCAGTGCCACCTGTGCCGCCCCTGCCCGCAACCCAGAACATCTCATCCTGGGTATACCCCAGAGAAGATCCTCCCAATCACCCGGAGGGGGACCCTCTTCCTGTCCGCACGCCTCACCTCCTGGAGTCTAGAATGGCTAACCCTCCCTCACACGCATACCATTCGCTAAACACCCTCAAACTCACTCTCCGAGCCCCTCGCACTGCACAAGGCCCCCACCCCTCCTCTGCCTGTGTGCTCTGCGCCTCTCCAGTTCTCGGGCTGGGCCGTCCTTCTCCAGGCTGGCAGAAGCGAGGTGAGCCTGCCCCAGGCCCTGCAGAGGTGGCAGGACCATGAAGACAATGCAGTGACATGGCAGGTGGCAACTTCTGCCCCATGGCTGGGGCGACTGGCCAGAGGCCAACAGCCAGTGCCCACCCAGATCACGTGGCAGCCTCCTGCGTCCAGGGCCAGCCCACCCTGCAGAATCCTGGGTGCGGAGCCCTACTTCTGGAGCCGCCCACTAACTGTGTCACTTACTAGTTGTGCCTCAGTTTCCTCATCTGTGCGGTGTGGATTATCCTCGCTCCTAAGGTTCTGGTGAGGGTCAAATGAGAGAACTTCTGCAGAGGCCGGGTAGACGGCAGTGATGACTGTCTTGGCTGGGGGCGGGGGTGGTGAAGGGGTGCATGCAAACCCCCAGGTAGAGTGGCTGCCCCTCCCCCACCTGGGCTAGTGGATTCTCCAGCTGGGTACCAGCAGGTCATGGTCTGGGGTGGGGGTGGCAGGGCCTGTGCCACTGCCTGGGGGAGGCACTCCGTGCAGATTCATAAATCTTGGGGCTGCTATTTTTAAGGGCCTGAAAGGCACCCATTCTCTTGAGACCCCAGCCCATCACAATGGGGGTCTGTTCCCCTGCTGGGATGTGATTTCATCTGGAGGAAATGTCTCAGGAGGAGGAGGGCAGAGGCTACTTCCTGGCCTGGGGCTGCCACAAAGCACCTCCTCTGCTCTCCTCCCCTCGGGCACAGAATTGTGCCCGCGACAACCACAGCGGGGACTGCTGGGCACTGCCACCCTGTGTCTGCCCCACATGGGGGTACTGCCAGGGCAGGCATGAGCCCCCACCAGCAGGGAGGCGCAGGGGTGCTGCTGGGGGGTTCCCATACCCCTGACTGGGCCCCCAGCCTGGGCAGGTGTGAGTAGGACACGGGACATGGGGGGCAGATCCACCTCACATGAATGGAGTGACTCATGAGACACTAGGGGGTCTCTGCTTCCCCACTCACATGACCCCAATTTCCCTGGGTTAAGTACTAACTGGTCCTGGAGATCTTCTTTTCAAAAATGCAAAATTGTTTTAAAACGCACATGCGATCTCCTGCTTTAAAAACCTTCCAAGGCCCCCTGCAGGCAGCAAGATAAAGTCCCAGTCCTTCAGACAGGTGGCAAGGGCCTCCGTCGACTCACTGTGCAAACTTGGGCACCTGCTGTGCCCTCTCTGAGCCCATGCACGCCTTACTCCTGGTGCAGGAAGATGCTCCCCGACCTGCAGATCACGGACACAAACAGCTTCCAATGCAGGGCTGCCCTCAGCCGACAGGTTCCTTCCAGCTAGAGAGGAGACCCAGCCCTTTCTCCCACTGCCGGGCCCTGTTTATCCCCTTCCAGGCTCCCTCCACTTCCTAAGTCCACTTCTTCCTGAAGGTTCCATGCTTTGCTCACCCTCTGCCTGGCAAAATCCTACTCATGTCTTCAGGCCAGTCAAAATGTCACCTAGTCTTTGAAGCCCTCCTTGACAGTTCCCACCCACTTTGCCCTCCTCATGGGGAACAGGCTGCTCCCTCTGGGACCCCCAGACACCTCACCCCCAATGTGGCCGTGGTCACAGGGTCTTACAGTCAACCCGCCAATGTCCTGCTGGCCGCCCTGCCCAGCTCAGCTGAGTATCATGCCAACCGCACTGCCCACACCAGCCCCCACAGGGTAAGCACATCCGACCTCAACTCCAGCCCTCTCCCCTGGGCAGCCTCGGCCCTGCCGCAGCCACCTCTTCATCCACGGCCACAGAAGTGGCCCCGCCAGCCTGGCTCCGTAAGGGCCGGGGACAGTGGCTCCTTTCCCCCTTCTTGGTTCACACCCTTCCCTTAGCTGCCTGCCAGGCCGAGCTCCTAGCCCAGTCCTTCCCCGAGCACTCAGGGAGAACCATCTTCTTCTCCTCCTTTTGGGCCTTCAGTTTTCTCATCTGTAAGATGGGAGAACAGCAGCCCCGCACAGGAGTAGGAAGGCCAGCTGGGTGAGGTAACTGAGGGGCTCTGCACAGGGCCTGGCTCACGTTGAGGGTCTGTTCGTGGGGGCTGCTGTATTAACAGGGCACCTGGGGGGCATTCCGGAACTTCTGGGCAGGGAGAGCTGTGACTCCCAAAGGCAAGAAGGCACTGGGCAGGGGCTAGTGCTGCCCCGTGGTTGCACTAGCTGAGCAGAAAGGGCTGGACGAGCAAGTAAAAGCCCTGACATGGCCTGTGGGGGCCCTGGAAGGATAATGGTTGCAATGCCCAGGCTGGGCCTCATCCCCTGACCCAAAGGTCCTCCTGGGCTTGGCCTGGGAGCAAGTCTCAAAGGGGCTCCACGACCCTGGGGCCCAGCCGATGGGTGCAGAGAGCTCACAGGGGTGGGAGAAGGACAGGGGGCTCCTGGGTCAGACTTCAGAATGGTCCAGCACAGAGTTCCAGCCCAGGCTAGAGGGAGATGGGAGTCGCTTTGCTTGCCTGCAGAAGGTCAGGGCACTGGACTCAGGCTGAACCTGGTGCCCATGGGGGACAGGATGGTGTGCTGCAGGAGGCCTGTCCAGAGACACCTCTGGCCTCTAGGCCAGCGTGTGAGATTTCCCACCTGGGCAGAGGTGGCCTCAGGCACCTGGGCCCAGAGTTGGGCTACAAGTTGAGTCTGAAGGAGGCGATATGCCTGACCTCAACTGAGCACCTCCTGTGGCCCAAGTCCTGGGCTGGTCACCTTCAATCGCGCAGCGGTTATACAGGTGGACAGCAGCACTTGATCCCACACACAGAGGAAGTGTGGCTGAGAACACATGCTCTAAAAACATACAGCCTGCGCCGAGTCCTGGCTGTGTGACCTTGGACAAGGTACTTAACCTCTCTGTGCCCCTCGGTTTCCTCATCTCTAAACTGCTCCC